AGAAAGTTTTCTTGCCTTTTATTTCCCAAAGATAGGAAACGCTGAAGAACAACTTTGTTCATTTCTGAATTAGATAGCTTTCTGTTGCTGATCACGCAGACTCACAAAAAAGCAAACCTGTACAGTATACTGTTATCTACAAAGGAATTCTGCTTTAAAAAGCTTGTGCTATTTGATTAATATAATAATAATATCAAATAATAGAACAGAAAGCAAATGATGTATCACCTGCAGTAATAAAATCTTCAATGAAAATAGAAAAGCTTGGGGCTGGTGAGATGGCTCAGTGGTCTAAAGCACCTACTTAGAACAAGCTTAGTAAAGCACAGGGATCACAGTTCATTCCCCCAGCACCACATGCCAGCCAGGCCCGCCCCCTGGTGGGCTGAGCTGGCCACACACACACACACACACACACACACACACACACACACACACACACTAAAGTAAATAAACAAAAAAAAAAAAAGAAAGAAAGAAAGAAAGAAAATAGAAAAGCTTGTTTTCCAAACATCCTTTTTGGTTTTATATCTGTTCATCTGCTTCCTAGAGTCATAGATTCATTTCTTAATATGGCTTGTTCTGTTTTCAGACATCTGAAAAATTTATGAGCAGACTAAGCAGATGATTACTGGAATATAGAAAGAAAACTCGTCCCCCAGCCTGCCACACCGGCCCCACCTCCGGGGCGCGCTGAGATGACAACTGAGACTGGGTGTGGTGGCGCACACCTGTCATCCCAGCTCTTGGGAGGCTGTAAACAGGTGGGTCACTAAAAGTCTGATCTAGTAGTGAGACCCTGAACACCCTGTAGACCCTTCCCTAAAATAAAAATTAAAAAAAAGAAAAAGAAAGAAAGAAAGAAAGAAAAAGAAATCTAGCTTAGAGTTGGTTAAGTGAAATAGGCTGTTGGTCTCAGGAACTCTTTATTTTTATGTTTTTTTAAATTTTAATTTCATTTTAAAGAGTAAAAAAAAGAAAAGAAAAAACAAAAACAAATAGCAAAAACAAAGAAACAGAGTAACGTACAATACATATGGTACAGATTTTTAAACAAGAATAACAAATCAACAATGGTTATATTACTTATTTTTATTGTTAAATCTGTTGCTCAGATATAGGTATGCAAGAGTGGACAAATAACTGAACATTAATGCTTGATTTCAATACACCTTAATTTTTTTTCTTGTCAGGACCTCTTTAAATAAAATCTTGAAAATTACAGAAAACTGCAATGATATTGTATTTGTATATAAATCTATACTTAACAAATTGAAACTGAGAGATGTTTAAAGTCCTTATTAATTCATTTAGAAATATCAGACTCAGGAATGAATGGAGGTACATAATACTTAATGAAAATAACTGTGTTTTTCAAAACAAAAAATGACTGAATGAAAAGAATGTCTCTATTTGACAGTTTGCGTCTTTTAAAATTGTCACACCTGCTTCCACATTCACTTTTCTACCCTGTACAATGAGTAGCCTTGGGAACATGCCACTGTATATTAGACGGTGCACCTGAACAAGGGAACCAGAAACTTAGTATAACTGTGGAAATAATGTGCCCTGCAGACCTTCTCCTGAGGTCACGAGGCCACCAAAGTCACTGGACAGTGCTTTGAATGTCGTTCCCCTTGTTAGCTAAGTCAATCATTTTCAATCATACACAATTTTCTCAAGCACATTTCCCTGGATGTCTTCAGATATGAAGTAAACAAAAGGAATCCTTTGAGCCTTAAGTAAAATCAGTGACAATTTGGGGTGCCAGAAAGACCGCAAAGGGTGGGAGCCAGAGGACAAGCGTGGGAATCCAGCAGCATGCCCTAAGCTGGCAGAAATGGTGAGTTATAAGAACACGTCATGCCCAGCACCCTGCTCCATGGTGGATCCAGCCAATGAAAATAAAGTTTAGTGACAGAAACACAGTTATGGAGAGATCTTTAATCTGCTAGGCTCTGATTTACTTCCTTAAGTAAGTGATTTGAAAGTTTGGGCATTTAACAATTACTGGAAACCAATTACTTTAAAACAGTTTTTACAATGTTGAGAGATGCTGTCTTTTCTCTTTCGTGGCTGGTAGAGGTGAGGTGCTTAGTCATCCACACACTGAATTTTTCTCTTAAATTCAATTATTGAGAAATAATGAGAAGTTCACTCTTATTTATTTCCATGCTGCTCAGTTATCATGTGTGTACACATTCATTCATTCAAGAGGCACGAAGAACCACTTCTGATATGGCAAGTGCTACATGTGACAGTGAGTGTACACAATGCAAGGAAAATTCCTGCTCTTGTGAGTCATGTTCTAGCACGAAGAGAAACACAAACGTATGTGTTAAACCAATCATCCATGACACTGTATTAAAGACTGGAGAGAAAACACAAAGGAATAGTAATTTTGGGAAAGGATAATATCATGATTTAAAATTGGGTGGTTATTCTGAGCATGGTGGTACGCACCTGTAATACCAGGACTTGGGAAGTTGAGGAGGGAGGATCGCCTCAAGTTTGAGGCCAACCTGGCCTACATATTAGGTTCAGGCCAGACTGAACCATATAGCAAGACAGTCTAAAAAAAAAAAAAAAAAAAGGTGGCAAGCAAAAGACTAAAGGAGGTATCTGAGCACTGATTAAAGGGGTAACCCATCCCAGAAAAGGCTGCTCAAAGACGAGGGCTTGGCAGCTGTAAAGAATAGGCTGGGAGTTTGTGCAGGTTTGTTGGAACTCTTAAGCTGTGAGGTCAGAGAGGTAATGAAGAGACCTAAAAGCCATAGTAAAGGGGCTTTTATTTTTCTCTTGTGCTGGGAAGCTATGGGAAACTGAATACAGTGGTATGACCTCATTGCCCTTTTCATAGATTGGGCTTCGGTGGTGAGAATACAACCGATCCTGTGTCACTGTAACAATCCAAGCAAGAGATGATACGGACTATAGGAGAAGCAGTAAGCCAGACACTGGGTGCATTTTGAAGGGAGAACCAACACATTATGTATAAAATCAATAAGACACTAGAGAAAGGACACAGATGAGTTTTAACAGAGCAAAATGGAGCCATCTACTGAAATGACAAAGAAGGGCTGAGGCCTGGAAGGGCATTTGAGTGGTACCTCTGTTGATTCACTCGCATCTTTATGCATCTCTGTGTGCTTGCTATTGATTAGATCTTGCCTATTTCTCAAACGCTTAGGAGTGAAGGGCTTGTCCTAACTTCAGTGCTTTGGGAAGGCGGTGGCAGCTTTTGCAGGCAGACTTCATGAAAGAAGGCAGGTCACAGGGGGTACGCCCGTGAAGGATTATTAGGAACCAGGACTCTCCTCTCTGTCTCTGCTCCGAAACCACTACAGTTGGAAAGGCCTCCCCTGCAACACATTCCCATCAGGTTACACTGTGCCACCAAAGGCCCAGAGCCACAGTCAACAGACCACTGACTCAAACTTCCAAAGCTGTGAGCCCAAATACACTCGTCCTACTTCTAAGTTTGCCCTCTCTGGTATTTTGTCACAGTAACAGAACATTAACATTAATAGGTCCAACACAAGTTATAGATTCTTTCCTAAATATGCACTTAGGACAACTGAACTACAAAAAATTTTCCTACTAGTATTTAAGGTCCAGGAACTAAATCTATGTTCTGATGTAAGTTCTATCTGAAACTCTTTAAGACATTTAGCATTGTTTCATCTTTTTTCTAATTGATAAGATGCAGAAGATAGAATGGACAAACTCTTGCATCTCTGCCTGATTTAAATCCCATGTTAGAAGCAACAGTAAGATCTACTCATAGCTTATCATGAGGTTTAAATGAACGTATGTATGTAACGCACCCAGAACAATGCCTGGATCACTGGTCATTAATGTTAGTATGATCGTTTCAAGCTGGAATATTTAACTATAAATTAATTTTTTTGCTGTTATCCATTCACAAGTTATATAGAAGCATAAAACTGGTTAGCTAAGAAGCGGCCAAAACCGAGAACTGAACTAAAACTGCAGGACATATCCCTCCGCACTTCTGCAGTCATAGACGTTATAAGAAAACAGTAACACCTGCATTACAAAACATCATTGAAATACAAGGCACCCTTCAAGAAATTGGTTCGTATATTGCTATAAGAACTCCAGAATAAATTGGCTTCAGAGGAACAAAAGATAATACACATTTCTGTGCACATAAATGCACTGAAAATTTTCAATCTTGAATGAAATATTTAAAATCTCAAAACGGGACCCAGCTGCAAGAAGCTAGTCAAGGAAATGTTGAGCTGTGTGTTACCGTTTAAGATAGAAAGGCAGGCTCTTCTATCCATTTTAGTTTACTACAAAGTATGAAAAGTTAACTCTGTTCTGGAAAACGTAGTATACATGCTGAAGCAAAAGGGACAACTGTGTTAAGAATTTTGATATTTAAAACCGGTCGTACCAACAAAAGTAACTAATTCCTTCAACTTTTAGATTTTTATACCAATTCATCTCTTCCTGCTGCTTTTCAATGTCCTATTCTGTTAAGAAAAACGGACCAGAGAGCCACTTTTCCCATTAAAACGCTTAATTATTCGAAAAGTAAGAAAACTGCCATGTCCTGGAGGCATTCGCCCATGTAGCTTTTTTTTTTTTTAATTGTTTTATTTTTCATTGAAAGAGAACACACAGTACTTCTGCAAACGGCTGCCTACACCTAAACTCAATTGGGGCCCACGGGTACTGGGGCTGGGGGCGTCACAAAGCCGGGATTTTGAGCGCCAGCCCGCCCCGGCTCTGGCGCGCCCCACTTCCCGCACCCCGGTCTCTCTCTGATGCGCCTGCCGAAGAGCCGCGAACCGAGAAGCCGGCCGTCGGCCCAAGAGCCGCGAACCGAGAAGCCAGCCGTCGACAGGACCCAGGCGAGCAGCCGCGTCGCCGGCGCAGAGCAAGGACGCCCGCGCAGCCGCCCACGTAGCCGCCCGCGCATGCGCAGTCCGACGAGGGCGGAGGCCCCGCCCCGGCGCGCGGTCACGTGACGGCCGCGCGCGTCCCCGGCGGCTGCGGGCTCAGAGGCCGAGCAGGGAAGGCCTCGCGGGGCTGCGGCTGTGGCTCTGAGGTGGGCGTCGGGCGCAGTCTTCCAGCGACCGCGTGAAGTGGGGCTTGCGGGTGCTCGGCGCGGTGTCCGCCCCCGCGGGGCTCGCGCGGAGTCTGTGGGCCGGCCGGGGCGCGCGGCGGA